TTTCCTCCATGGGGTGTTGTTGATGGAAATGGCATTAAACCCACTCAGCTTTTTCAATATACTTCAAAATAAACCAGAGCAACTTTGAAAGGACAAATAGTTCTTCAATGGTTTTTCTTCAGTGTGCTTTTTTTTTTTCTTCCTTCGCCTTAATTTAAATGCTTCTTTTGCTGCTTTTTTTTTTTTGTGTTTCCAAAGGATAAAAACATCCTCCAGACTCAGCTCTTTTCCCTGCCCATATCCATGAAGTTTGACACACTTTGGATGTTCAGTTCTGGTGTATCCATAGAACTCTAGGGCAGAAGAGCAGAATTATGGGCTGTGTTACTCCAGAAGCAATAAAGTCTCTCCAGGCATGATGTCCAGAATCCAATCTGGAATGGAAGTGTGGTAGTCTCTGTAGGGATCCCAGACCTTGGAGAGCTCTGGAGCTCCAAACAAAGTGTTTAATTCCCTGTGAAAAATAAGGCACCTAACACTTCCCTGTGCTCCCTAGATCCTCCTGGGAGTAATTAAACTAAGGAATAACTAAATACCAATGAGATAACACCCCCAGCTGTCACCTGTCAAGCTTCAAAGGGGCTGTGAAATATTTTAAGAGTAGAAAAGCAGCATAAACAGAATTATTTTCAGCACTGGTGCCCAGGACTAGCTGAAAAGTTCAGGAGTTTCCCTCTGATAGTTTAGCTCACATTTCCCAGCCAAATTCCTAAGAGTTTTCCCCCCTCTCAGAGGAAATTTCCTCCTGGGAATTGAGCCCTGTGGTGTCATGTATGGTTGGTTCCTTTTCCCTTCCCTCACGTGTGACCTCACGCTCAATATTTTGAGTGTTTTTTGCTGGTTAACCACATTCCACCTCTTGCTTTATGATTCCTCTGGTTTAGAGTGGTTTAAAAGACACCCTAATCCCCTCAACAACTCAGTGTGAATATAAAGAACTATCAATGTATACAAAAACTTTTTAGTTTAACAAATTAAGGTCCTGGAGGTGTTTCTTCAGGGAGAAAAGGGGCTGAATGAATGATTAAAGTATCAGAAATTTAGAAAAAATCTTTGGTATTCGCCTCAAAATGATGTGTTTGGCCCACCCCAAGTGTCTTTTCCCGCCCTTTACCCCGAGCAGCCGTTACTATGGCAACAGCCGCGGGCACCGCCCCCGCGGCAGCTGATTGGACAGTGTGACCGAAGCTCAGCAGCTGACTGGATAAGAGGGTTGTCAATCAAAGGCAATGCCTCCCTTACTCCCGCGCGGCGTCGTTGCCATGGCAACGCGTCTTTGATGTAAACAAGAAGGGGATAATGGCGGCGGCAGATGGGGCAGTAGGGAATGGGGTCGGGGTCTGTTTCCCCGTGCCAAAGCAGGAAAGGAGGCTGTAGGGATGGGGAGCTGAGGTGCTGCCACTGGGTGGCAGGTGGGTGTGGGGGGTCTGGGGCTCAGCCTGGAGGAAAAGAGGCTCAGGGGAACCTTCTGCTCTCTGTGACTCCCTGCCAGGAGGCGCAGCCAGGTGGGGTCAGGCTCTGCTCCCAGGGAACGAGAGACAGGACAAGGGGAAACACCTCCAGCTGTGCCAGGGGAGGTGCAGGTTGGATATTGGAATAATCCTCCTGGAAAGGGCTGTCCAGCCCTGGCACAGCTGCCCAGGGCAGTGGTCAAGTCACATCCCCGGAGGGATTTAACAGCCGTGTGGATGTGGCACTTGGGGACGTGGTCAGTGGTGGCCTTGGAAGTGCTGGGAATGGTTGGACTCTTCCAGCCTAAAGGATTTTGATTGTACATCTCAAGGCTTTGAAGAAAAACTCAGAGTTTATAATCTGGCAGTTAGGAGATTATTATCTGCAAACAAACACTTAGGTATGGCACAGCTCCACCTGTTTTGATGGGGAGTAACTCCCAGCTAGGTTTTTTTTTTTGCCTTTGGAGTTTAGTGGGAATGACGTGTGCTTTACGCTGTGTAACTCAACACATGGTTGTGTGTTTCAGGTCCATCTTGATGTGGAGTCTCACTGCCCAGTAGAAACACTAAGCCATGGTAATTCTGCTTTGATCCTTCTGAAGGGTATTAATACCATTTTCCTTAAGGAAATTGAGTTCTTATCCAACAGGTTCATTCCCAAGGGAATGAAGTCCCTCTGCAGGTCTCTTGGAACCCCTTGAAGCACTAGAAGGGGCCCTAAGGTCTCCCTGGAGCTTCTCTTCTCCAGGCTGAACACCCCTAGCTCTCTGTCTCTCAGCTCTGGATCCTCTACCCAGAAAGCAATAAAGACCCAAAATTAACCCAGCATTTTTGTGGTCATTTCCTCTGTGCAGGCAACTAAAAGCAGCAAACCCAAGTGTGGCAAAGGCTTCAAAAAGAAAGCCAAGGAAGTGGTAAAGGAAGTTGACCTCCTCAGCCTAGCTGCCATGCTCAATGCTTACTACATCTGCCACAACACTGCTGCCTGCCTGGAATTCCAAGGCTTTCCCTGACCTGGCTCCACCAAAAAGAAAGGGAAAAAGAATCAGAGGGCTGGAAAGGCAAAGGAGAACCAAATTCCCCAGGGAAGAAATTAAATTCGTTCTGAAACTTGTCCTGACCTCTGCAGTGGTTTGCTCAGATCTTTGGCTCAATCACTGCTGTGTTTGTACAAAGACACTTTGATTGCAGCTCAGGCACAGAGTGACAGTGGCAGGGAACACTGTGCCATTGTCATCTCAGCTGTGGCACTTCAGCCTCCAGTTCTGTGGGTGATCAAGCTCCTCAGCAGGGCTTGTGGTGGGTTTGCTTTACCGACACTCTGCTGAGCCTTTCCAGGTGGGATGTGTTCCCTGATGGCTTTGAGTTACCTCCAGCTGTGTCACCTTGGGCTCAAAGAGTGGAATCCATGGTAGGATTGACAGGGCTAAGGATGAGTTCCTGAACATCAGCTGATCTAGGGAGTAAGTCCTATGAGGAGCAGCTGAGGGAGCTCAGCCTGGAGAAAAGGAGGCTCAGGGAGGCTCTCTCTGACTCCCTGCCAGGAGGTGCAGCCAGGTGGGGTCAGGCTCTGCTCCCAGGGAACAAGGGACAGGGGGAAACACCTCAGGCTGCACCAGGGGAGGTTCAGGTTGGACATCAGGAGGAATTTCTCCATGGAAAGGGCTGTCAGGCATTGGAATGTGCTGCCCAGGGAGGTGGTGGAGTCACCATCCCTGGAGAGGTTTAAAGAATGACTGGATGTGGCACTCAGTGCTCTGCTCTAGCTGCCAAGGTGGTGATGGGTCAAAGTTTTGACTTGATGATCTCAGAGGTCTTTTCCAACCTCAGTGATCCTGTGCTCACCAGGTCCAACCATCAACCAGCACCATGTTCACCACTGCTCCACATCCTCAAGGACACCCACGATGGTGAGTATCCTGTTTCCTTGCTAATGAGCCTGAACTGGCATATTGTGATGAATCAGAGATGTGGTTTGCAGCACTGCTTTGTTCTGTGTTCTTCACCTACAGCTCTTCCTCAACGTGTATTCATGTTCTTGTTTCCTCAGCACCCACCAGGAAGTCCCTGGTCACTAAAACTTGCAACAATTTCCTCCAAGTATCAGCCCTCTAAAGCAAGA